TCAGTGACCATGATCTGGCCATAGACACTGGACAGCACAAGCAGACTCAGGCGCTCCTACCCAACTACACCACTGTAAGAAATACTGTCTGGATCAGAGAAACATTTATCCCAAAATGTATGAGTTTGAGCTCAGAATTACAATACTTGGCAGAATTAGCACAACTTCCAATTCTACTGGATTGCGGGGATAAAAACCTGTAGCATCTCACTGAGGCAAATTTTTCCAACAATGTGATCAGTATGTGTTCGAAACCAGAAAATGTTATGCTTCGGGTTTTTGAAGATCAAACGGCATATTTGTCATGCAACCTTAAATCTGAATCACTTTATTTGCCTGGTATGTTACATGTAAAAGCAATTTGATCTGGTATCTTGGTGCAAAAACATAGAAACAATTCAGTATTGCATGGACACTCCACACGAAGAACATGCCAGGGCCATTTACATAAACACTACAGTACATCACAAATGTCTGTGTTCTGGCTAAACAGGGGGACAGCCATGGGGAAGAAGCTGTTCAGATTCATTTTCAATTTTTGTAATTATTGTTTTTGTTGTGTTTTAGCTTCTAGAAGTCTGCACTTGTCTCTATCAACCATCATCTGCCAGGTGTTGCCCTTGTCTGCCTTTGCCCAGTCTTGAATTTTATCTGAATCTTTTTTTAAATTCATTCACTGCCTCTACAGCGATTTGCTAACCATTCTATTTTGGTATCACCTGAAATCTTGATTAGTTTCCCAACTATTAACTAATTTAATAGCTATTAACTTCTATCTAAAGAGATAATGCCCTTTTTTTTGTCTGTGGAAGTGAAATCATTTTTCCATAATGTTTTTCTGATGCTGATGCTGATGTTATTTCTGTCCAAGTTTTCTATTGCTTCTTTTATATCGTATCAGAATCCACAGGACCTTTAGAAGAACTGAAATCTCCTCTTTCTGAAGCAGCATTTTGTTTTTTCCTACAATGAAATTAGATTCCTCAAACTTGTATTTTCTGAATTGTCTGGGTTTCTGGCAAGTGGTCTAATATTTAAACCTTGTCCCTTTTCTTTGTCAAAAGTATCGACATTTATCTTTTAAAGAAGAAATTATTTGGGCCATAATCCGTCTTTGATTCAAGTGATAAAGGCTGAGCCATTTTTCAGTTTTTGATTCTATATTGGTGATCTTTCTAAATGTCTCTTTGGTACTGGAGTTTCCACAAATCAGACCAGCCTTGACCAGTCAGGTTGACAGGATCTGGTGACCTTGGTCTGTTGAAGGTCCAGCTACAGCTGCAGTGTCACACAAATTAAAGTGTAAACAGTGTTAAGATTTGCAGTGTTAGTTTGAGGATTTCTTTTGACATGATCTACGAATACTCCACCCAGTCACTAGGGGGAGCTGCTTGGAGTATCAGAACCAAGGTTGCTGAGATAGCTCTTAAACCTTCAGTAACAATCTCGGTGGGAGTTTTGAAGAGGTCACATCAACGGTATTTCTGCTTAAGCAGAAGTTTTCACCTTTTATTTTTCAAAAGTTCCATTCAAAAGCACGGGGAAGGCAAACCTGATCCTAACTGCTGTGTTTCTAGTTTTTGTTTCTTTTCAAACCCTAGTGATTTAATTGAACAATTAACTACATTAGAAGTCAAATCAGCTGTGTTTTCTGGGTCTTAATTGGGAGGTCTTAATTAAAAAGTCCCCTTAACTTTAGTAGGAACCTTGTACGTGAGGTATTCAAATTATATCAATATGGTCTTTAGCACGTGTAAATCAGAAGTTAAAATGTCTTCAGCGAAGCCTTGGCAGTCACGTAATGACCATGTCCCAGAACCTGTTTAAGATTATAGTGAACTGTTACCTCAGTTCCATCTTACACAGGTGAAACGGGTGAGTTACAATAAAAGTTGAGATGGACTTGGTAACATCAGCTTTATTTCACACAGATTACAAAAGTCATTGTAGTCAAGATTACAAGCAAACCATGTTTATTGGGAGTTTTGCAGGATTTGCTATATTGATTTCTAGCTTGTGATGACAGTACCCCATATAGATAATTTACAAATTCAAGTTTATATTTAAGTATGAGGGCATTAGAGTTGGTATTAACAGGACATCCTGTACTAGATGGGGCATTTTTGTAACTTGTTTTTTATGAACATCTACAGAATACATGAGGGCTAACAAAGAGTGTATGCACTTATTTTTAACTAGGCTAAAATGGTCACTATCAGCACAGTCTGCTTCAGCAAAGAAAACTGTTTCATGAAAAAAAAGTTCAAAAGAGTACAACAGGACTGTTTCAAGTCATGAGAATGTGAGAACAGCAACACAAAGTAAATTCAGTCACGTCTGGGTTTCAGCTAAATAATTAAGAACTCTTAACAGCAGTGCAGCCTGGGTGATATGAACTGAGAAGTCTTGTTCCAGGGGAATTTAATACCATGTACATTCTCCACAAAATGTGTGAATAGCTGGAAACACTCCAGCCATGGCAATTTCTGTGTCTGAGCCCTCCTGTTGTTCAGGTGCAAGAGCTTTAGTGCAACCTTCTGGGGAGAAGCAGAAGGGAAAATCTCTATCTGCTCCCACCTTCTTCGGTTTATCAGAAATTGATACATGTGTCATTTAACAACGGTTGATTGACGTCCGGTCCTTCAGCACCAGAATTGAGAACCAATACTCTGAAGCCGCAGTGTTGATGCTGGTAGTTACCTGATAAGTCTTCTTATCTGACCTATTATTGAACAGTCTTAATATTTTTGTACAGTTGTGTTGCCTTTACTGTGCATGCAGAGTGTGATGTGTTTGATCTACCAGCTGTTCTGTGAAGAGATCTGCCCTTGATGGGTGTATTTAAACGAATAATTAATCCGTTGTGTTTTTTAGTGTAAATATTACTTTTGTTTTAGTGATATTTTAGTCAAGCACGTTAAGAAACCACAAATAATGACTCCATCTAGAAATTCTGCACACAGTAACAAAAGAAGTCCGGAAATCTCTGGCTGTGAAAGAGAAAAGTGCTGAAAGGACATCTTTTAAAAAAATTGTATCCCAGAACAAAAAAACATACATGCACCAATCTATTTTAACTGCAGTCTGGTGTTAAGTGCTTGAGCAATAATGACTTTTTTTAAGAGCAACACTTTAAAACCATGTTTTTCTTCTGTTGTGCAATTTTTTTTCTAAGATTTCCCAATGGTAAGTTTAAATCATGATTGGTGAAGGGTGAAATGGATTCTTCAAACTGAGAGCACAATGTTTAAAAAAACAACTTATTTTTAGTCGAAGTGTGATTGTCCATTTCTACTCACAGGAATGTTCTTTTGAAATGTTTTTCCCTGAATAATTTAATTAATTAAATTAATTTTAGATTCCAAGGCCATTTTAAAAATGTTACCCATAACGTGAACGGGTTTAATGTACTGTAATAAAGTACAAGTTAGCTGTTGTCAAATGCCATGTCTTTCTATGTATTGCAGTGCAGGATTTCAACAGAACTGCCACATGATATTTATTGAATGAGAAAATAAGCCTAGGTTTGCTCTTTCCAGTTTGGTAGAATATCTTCTTCTGCAACACCACCCAATAAATGTAATATAGTTGAAGTTCAGAAGCAATGATGACAAAGGGGAAACAAGCACTTTCAAAGAATGGAATTGAGAATTGTGTGGTTATACAGTATGTGCTCCCTTCCCCTTGGTGCAGACTGAGATCTAATTTGAGTTTTTTTGTAAAGTACTTGTGCGACAGGTAAAATGAGACGGATGTGATGTCGACAGGTGTGTTCTTTCGGCTGTTGCATAGATTGAGTACAAGGACGTGAAGCAGCTGTGTGTTTGTACTTTGGCCAAGTAAGCTACATCTATGTGGCACATTAAAAAAGCTGTTGTTTTACAAAGAGCTGTTAAAATATTCACCTGCACGTCTTAATTGGAGTTCCAGTTAATATTTGCCCAGGCTCACCATGAACACACTTGAAGGAAGAGGTCCACACACAGTGGACTGAGCACTTTTAAACACTCGCATGACCTCACCGGTGATCAGGGATTCAGAAAAAGTCTGAGCATTACTGCAGTTTCACTAGAACTTGGGATTTTAACCTGTCAGTTTAGTAAAAAATCTGATGACATCGGCGGTGTCAAGTTCTCTTCCCAAATGTGTCATTATAATTCATATTTAGTTGCTTCTGTTCAAGTCTGAACAGGAAGTTCTGGTATTTTTGGCAGGATTCCCAAGAGAGACGTGAGGGTTTTTTTTTGTCACCTGGCAAATTTCAGGTTTTATTAACCTGACTTCCCTGGAATATTCTGTAAGCAGTCTGACTTATTGATTAATTCTATGAGGGTTTTGAGGCAAAATTACGTTTTTTTTTTCAGTTTCTAAACCAGATATTTAGATAAAGTATGGAAAACGGTTTTGAAGATGAGTTTCTAGAAAAATATTTAGTACATTTAGTACTTTGCAAATAAAAATCCTTTAAGATCTATAGAAGAGGAATAAGGCGGCATGGTGTCGCAGTGGTCAGCATGGCTGCATCATAGTGCTGGGGCCCTGGCTTCAGTTCTGGGCCTGGGGAGCTGTCTGTGTGGAGTTCGTATGTTCCCTCTGGGTTTGTGTGGGTTTCCTCCCACAGTCCAAAAACATGCTGGTAGGTGAATTTGCTTGAGGGAAAGTTGGCCCTGGTGTGAGTGTGTGTGTCTGTCTGCCCTGGGCTGCTGTCCCCTCCAAGGTGTACCCACCTTGACTCTGAAGTGGATGAAGCAATTAGAAATTGGATGGATGGAAAATAGGAAATACATTTATTCTTCCATTGATACCCAAATGTGAAATGTGGCTTTTAGCCCTTTTTAGAAAGTTTGCAGTCTTTTTTTTTTTAATGCACTTCATTCCATTCGTATCCTGAAACACTGGTTCCAAGCACAGGCTGTACTGCTGTGGGATAACTTTCACTACAGTTCACGTTCAGCTTCAGCAGGAGTTTAGGTCATAATGTTTTGTTTCCTCTATTTCAGGATCCAGCATTTCAAGGAATGCATAAGCTTTATCCATGAGTGCCGACTGAGTGGAGGTTCCTGTCTCGTTCACTGGTATGTATTTTGCCAGTCCTGGTGTGAAATATCTGCAATCACGCCTGGCTGTTCGAAATCTTTCTCGATTAGCGTGACACACAGATTTGGAAATACTTGAAACAGTAAATGCTGCAGCTGCTATTTTACACTTACAAAAATACAAAATACAAAGTATTTTTTTTTGTCATTTCTTATGCCGCTTTTTAATCCAGGAGACATTGCTCTTATCGTTTTTCTTCCTAGAGATGAGAGGAAAAACATAAAATCTTAAAATGTGTTGTGGAGGATGTGAAAGGAGACACAGTATGTGGAGAACCACAGCATTTCACTACACTTTGAGTCTCTATCGGTTAGACTTTTTGAACTCGGCTGAAAATTTCACACAAACTTTGGAAGGCAAAAAAAACCCTGGGTATTGTTCGGAATTTACCAGCAGCGCAGAAAACATCCCATCTGTGATGTCATGGCCTTCTTGTTTATCAGTGTCTGAAAGGCCATTTAAAAGATTCCCGCGTGATTCTGATGGCCCCTCTGGTGTTCTGGGGGCAGCCTGGCTGGAGTGTCCCGCAGCACCACTGTGGTGGTGGCCTACCTCATGACTGTGACCAGCTACAGCTGGGAGGAGTGCCTCTCCGCGGTGAAGGCTGTCCGCTCCTTCGTCGGGCCCAACTTCGGCTTTCAGCAGCAGCTGCAAGAATTCCAGATGACCCTCGTCCCCGAGGTAAGCACCCTCCTCTCCCTCCTCACGGCCTCTGGTCTCCCTGGCTGGGTAAGCAATTAACAGAAGGAGCACTTCAAGAATCTCAGGAGTGCCAAGTTCATAACTGAACCTCCCTGGGCCCTTACACAACCAGCACTATACTAGCCTAGTTTGGGTAGAAAGAAACTGAGCTCATCATTTCACATCTATTATTCACACTGTACATGAGCAGCCAATATGAAGTGCTGCAGTAGCTAATTCTTTATACCAGAAACTGACTAATTGTGGGGCATTCCTTGTCATTACATCATGAGTTCATCTCTACACACCCATAAGGATGAAAGGCTACTTTTTGCTACGACACAATACGGATCGATCTGTATCTGTGATCTTAAGATGGTTAAAATTTACTTGAAGATCATAATGGCTTTCTGCATAAAGAATAAAAAGCATTGAGTTAAAAGACCAGTACAAGACATTTGTACACCAGTGTATATAATATGGGTGGCAGTGTGGTGCAGTGGTCAGCATTGCCCTGGGTTCAGTTCCTGACCTGAGCTGCTGTCCGGGTGGAGTTTGTATGTTCTCCCTGTGTTCGTGTTGGCTTCCTCTGCATGCTCTGGTCTCTGGTCCCATCCAGTGTTATCTGTCCTTGTGCCAGTTGTTTACCAAGCCCCTGTATTGGCTAAAGCAGTTAGAAGATGCATGTATATTATATCTATCTTGTCTACACACAGTGTATTGAGTAAAGGAACAAGCAGATGTTCCACTCTCAAAAGTGAAAAGATGACATTTCAGTTTGGAGTCTTCAGGTATTGTCTTTTCTTCTTCTTGAGCTTTTTTATTGTTGATTGTCTTCAATTTGTTCCTTTGGAGCTCTCAATCTGACACAGCTCTGCAATCTGTTGTGTGCATGAGTATATAAATAAGCGTGAATAACACTTCTTTTTCGCTTTGCCAGAACTGATGGCAGGAAATTTTCTTTTATACAAAAGTTTCTTTATCAACAGTAACTGTGATAGCAATGTGAAAAGTATAGAAAATCATTCTAAGACTTGGATTAGACAATGCATAACTGAATTTGACAAAAAGAAAGAAAATGTATTGTTCAAGATAATCATAATAATGCTTGATTGGAGTGGTATTTTGCAGAACTGATGACATAGTGGGGGATATTTTAGAATGCTGAGGGTATTCTTAATAAGAAAGGCAAATTGTTTTAAGATGAGCCAATGTTGTTTTCTTAATAATGTTATATACATCCCCTGTACTGTTCATCTGGCATCCACCTAATCTTCCAGAAACTTCAATGATGTTATAGGGGATCAGTCTCTTAACACACTTCCTTCTGCGTTGATAACTCAGGTGATATCCCAGCAGCCCATCTTCAAAAACAAACATCTCGGCTGTTGACCTTTTCAGATGCACAGGTAAAGCAGAAATTCAGAAGCCATTTCCATCTGCCTGACTCGGAGTGTCAGATTATTCGTTTTTCCTGTTCCCTTGTTTTATAAGAATAGCCTCCTCCCTTTGGTAGGCTTTCAGCCTATTGAGCTTGTTCGGGAGTTTTTTAGCAAAGTGAATCAAATAATGAATCCAAGCATTTTTGAAAGACTTCAGTTTTATAGGGTTGGGCCCCAAACCTCTTGGCTAGGAAGCCTGTTCCAGATGCTCTACTCCATGAGTTAAGAAGTATTTCCTGGTCTCCGTAATGAATGCCTTTTGAGAGTCTGGTTGTGTCCTCATGTCCTTGATTTACTATTGAATGTAAAATAGTCCCCTGGCTTAATGCTGTTCATACCCATCCCAGGACTTTATGTACTTTGATCAAATATTGTCTCAGTCTCCTTTGTTCTAGACTGCAGAGATTTAGTTACTTTGAACTGTTTGTATACAGTGATTTCCAGAAAACAAGAGTCATTCTTGTTCCTTGTTGCCTTTGAACAAATTCTGAAACCTACTAACAAAAAAATATAATTTTTGTGATGTGGAGATCAAAACTGAAAACCATGTTCTAAATGAGATCTTTGTAGTGCATTGTAAAGTTTGATTATAAATTTCCTGGATTAAAATTTAGTTCCCATGCATTCTGTATGACCTTTGTGTGTACACTTTTTCCTGAGGTGTACTGTATATAGGAGTTGCACCAAAAGCCAGATCTCTTCCATGCTTTCCTGCAGAGCAAAGACCCTTCAACAATGCCTCTATTTCTGTGTTTTCCACTCCCTCTGTTTTGTTGCAAATGCATATTTAACTAGTTTACTAACTAAAGTATATGCAAATTTAAATCATCGCTATACAGTGTACAGTAGGTCAGGAGAAGAATGATTAGAGTGGAATAGTAGTTCAAGCAGGGAGCTGCGTCAGCATGTGCAGGCTGCAAAGGAACAAGTAAAGGTCTCTTCCCTGCTGGAAAGAGAAGAAAGAAACACAGCATTTCAGCTGTGAAGCCTTTTTCGGGTGTCTACTTTTTTCAGCATGGAGTAGAATAGTAGTCCTCTTCTGTACTCTACTATGTTCTGGTTGCTCGTATGAATAATTGTAGCAAGTTAAGTAAACGGCCAAGAGGGTCTAGGAAAAGGAAAATCCTGTCTCTTAAATTGCCATTGGTTTATAAATGTTCTTAAAACCTCTAACTATTGTCTCTGCACCTTTCAAGTTACATCTGAATTTCTGTGCTTTACGTGTTGAAACCAAACAGCATTTCAGGAAATAGTTATTATAATTATATACTTTTTAAAATCATTTTAAAATGATTCATTTTCATCATGCTTTATATCTGAAAAAGGGACCTCTTAATGCACAGCAGCTGTTGAAGATACAGTGTGCACCAGCTGCCCCTTTGCACAGCAGGTCTGATAGATTAGGGGTTGCTTCAGGGAAGCTAGACTGTGCAAGTCAGGAGTACACTGCAGCCAGGACCCTGGAGCTCACACCCGTAAAAAAAAAGAAAGGTCAATAGGGTTTTTAATGGCCAAGTAGCTGTGACCATGGTCAATCATCATCTTGAAGGGTCACCCCTCTTGCAGGTGTCCCCAGTCACAGGACACTTTTTAAAGGCTTTTATAAGTGTAGAATGCTCTATCAAGTGTATAATAGGTTATTATATTATGCAGTGTATCATAGTTTGCTGCTATGAAAACTAGTTTCCTGTTTAGAAGGAGATGTTTTTTTAATTTTTAATTTTTAAGACATTTTTAAAGACTAACTCAGAACTCCTGTGTCTTTGTTATTTAGAGTGACTGGATGGTTCAGTATGATCATATGGTAGAGCCCCCAGATTAACTCCTGCGGCTGTGGAAATGAGTGTTTCAATAGGGGAACTCTGCAGTGGTGATGGGGTATGCAGGAGTTGCAATACAGCAATCTGGCAGGTCACATGAGCCAGCTTTACTGTTACTGACTTGCAACACGGCCTGTCAGGAAGGCCTGATAATCTCTGTTTTTAATTGTTTCTTTGTGGCTGTCAACAGCCCATTAAGTTTGTGTCAGAGATGAAATCTTCTCTATTGGACAGTTTGTGATGTAATCTACTAAGCACTTCTCCTGCCGTTTGAATGAGGAAAAGCCTGAGCTGTATGTCTGGCTTAAAATACAGTGTTTTACAGGAGAAACCAAAATGGACAAGTGTAAATTATTTTTCAGCAATAATTTCAGCAAGAGAGGTGCACAGCGTATACCTGTCAAAATCCTGAGCTCTGGTTTCGATCCAGCTCCCACCAGGAGAATATTGCACTTTCATTATTTGTGTGACCTTTTCATTATTTGTATAAGCAAGTGATGGACATAAGTACACATCTGTATTAAAGGTGCTCTCTTGAAAGTAACGAGAAAGTGAAAACCTTTTAGAAAAATTGACCCAGCCACAGGTGTTCAAAGAGTGGACACATTTAGACTTAAGGCATTTCAGAACAGCAGTACTTGCTTTCTAAGCTATGTGAAAGTCTTTCCTTCAAGATGAGAATGTGACAGTTCTGTCACTGAGCATTTGTGTGATGAGCTGGGATAATGTCTGACATCTAGGGCTCAGATTCACGTGTTTGTCCAGGCTCGATGAGAGGAATGGACAGAACTCAAGAGCCCATGTCTTTGACATGCAGCTTGTGTTGCTTCCGGTAGTGGACAGACCTGCTACTAGCCCCTTGACCTCCACAGCAGACCTTTTCTGATCAGCCCTGTATAATATGACAAATATTAATTTACCTGATTTAATGTCACATTTTACTTCCCTGATGACACCTTTGTGACTTTGTTGCTGTTATAAGAGGCATAGGATATTTCTCACCATTTGCACCTCGACTTCATGCTTTTGTTGAAACATCATCTGAATGATGACCAGGCATTTGGAAAATTCTAAGGAATATATTATAAAATGTTCAATTAGTCATTATTATCAATTAAGCTAGCAATCAATAAGAGAAGCTTAGTTGTTTTCTGTATCAAGGATATCACCAATAGATCAGCTTAAAAAACATCTTTTTTCACAAGAGTGTACATTTCTCTCTAGTTTCACTTCCTCTGTTTAAATACCAAAGTGCATGTTTGCATTTTGAATCCTTTCACACTCGGTGTTGCTTTGCGTGTGCTTTTACTGGTTCACAGTCATCACTTGGGCCAGTGAAGGCTGAACAGCATGCCTCAGCTGTACTTCAGGAGTGAGCTGACAGCAGATTCCAAAACCTCCCAGTGACCTCACCTCTCGGCTTTGACCCGTTCTCCTGTCGTACGTTCCTTTCCCACATGGAGCCTTTTTTAGCTTGAACTCTGAAGTGATGAGGCCCATCAATTGCTTTCTCACGTGCCTCAAGCTACTTTTGTTGTCTAAAATATTGTGATTTCATGGAACTGAAACTAAATGGTTCTGTATCCCCTTAAAGTTAAAAGAAAGGTCACTGATTGTGTGCAGTAAGGATGTAATTACTTTGAGGGGCTAAAGAAACATTGACCACGACAGTTCAAAGGCTCTGGCTATTTTTGTATTGAAGCCATTCTTTTCAAAGTCATCAGGATGTTTTTAAAAG